ATCCTGGATAAAGGACGAATCTAATCAGATGTTCCGCTACTTAATTTCCCATTTTGCCTTCTTATACGCTTCTAATGCCAAGATAGGGGAGGGTTCTTTCAATTAGCAGCCCCGTAACAGCATATGCACAGCATGAGTTCGATAATAAATTTCAGTACCCAAGGAGACCTTGCCATGCCTGAAATTTGATAGGCGAACCAAATAAAGAATGTCTGCTTGAACCCTAGGGCCAAACTAGCTATTGTTTACCTCAACACGGGCAAATCACGCAGCACGCGTGCAGCTCATGATACTGGTTACGTAAGCAGACTCATAACTTAGATATTACTACTAACTAACTCTAGCTATGGACAGGGGTAACCTGGGGAGACATGAAAATTGGCAGACGGTCAAATAGCATACTATGTAATAAAGTAGAATTTTTTTGGTCCAAACCAATTTTTGAAATGGATTATGCGAAAATCATCCGTATTTATTAGTTAATCAATATTTAATAATTAGAAGTTGTATAAAACAAGAAGAAATTTACGCCGCTTGACCTAATTCTGAGGCAGTGTTGAAGAGCCGTTAAAAACGTTTGCTTTTAACTGAAAAGCTGAAAAAAAGCTCCATATGAAAAAATTTTGTAGAAAAATTTATTTTTCATCAGATTATTATCGCACTTAATTATTTTTAAAAAAATCTTCATTTTTTTTTGTCAAATTAATAATTATTTATGAAAAAGTTTCTCTGCAACCAGGATAATTATTGCACATTTTCAGTAACAGCAGGGCATTCGGTGTGCCACGCCACGTGAAAGGACAAATCTTATGGGACAAATGGGGTTTGTTGTTTATTAAGATTTCCAGAGGGGAGCTTATTAGACTTTCTTTCATTCCAACCTCGGAGTTAAATTCCTTTTGAACCCCAGCAAGAGAGAGGAAAAATAATTCGGTAAGACAAAGGTTAGATTAAATAGGAAGATTAGGCGAGCATTTTTGAATTTATTTTAACATTCGGGGCCTCTTTTGTGAAAATTGGGGATATCTTTTTTATCCCCCGGATTTTTATTACTGTCATTTTTCCACCCCCAAACCAACCTCTAGCTGCTAGAAAAACAAGATTTCCCGCCAAAACCTCGGTACATTCCTAAAAACGTGACCTAGTCCAATACTTTCAAAAGAGTGGCTCTTCTGTTGCTGTTAATTTAGCAGGGCAAAATTTATTACTGGTTTTATTACGTATAACATATGATTAAATAGCCTCGGGTTTAGATCATTCATATTAGTTTGTTTCATAAACTTCCTACGACCCGCTGTCTTTGAAAGGTGAAATCTGTAATTTGTATTCAGCGGACAAGAAAGAGTTTTCCGATCCTCCTTATTTCTTTAAATCAAGTCAAGAACTGACGTCTAAGTTTTCTTGACCTGAAGTGAAACTTTCGAGTGAAAAGATTACAATGAAATTCATGTCAAACAAATTTCACGAGCAATTAACTTCTGGGTAAACTAAAACTTTTGCAACAAACAGAAAACGCTGAAAAGTAAAATACTTAAAAAAGTTTTCTACAGCACGCGCTAAATATGGCTAATAAAAGCTAGCGGCAAATGAAAGCTGAACTATGTCCGCCGAACACCTTTTATTTAGAGGGCGGTAAGAAATTGGTTGAGTTTTTATTTAGCCAAATTTTGGTATAAGAAAACAAGTAGCCGGAGAAGCGAGCGCGACGTTTATATCAGATTAATGTCAGTGGTAATTGGAAATTAAAAAACTGACTTTTTGTCTGTTTTCATCTTTCCTGTACATGAAGCCAAAAATACAAGCTTTTTCTGACTAATGCCTGTGCTAAAAATTGGAGTACTTTTTGGGACAAGTATAAGTTTTTATTTTTTCAATAAGTATTGCCGACAGACTAGTAAGATAAGTCGAGCATAAATGACTAAGTCCAGCGTCAAATTGCAGAAAAAATGCAAGAAGTTTGAGCCAGTGACTTTATACGGTTGTTTTACAGTTTGTATCCATTTGATGGCCAGTATGAAACATTTGCTTCAAACTATTTCATTTCATGATGATGATGATGATGATAATGTTCGACAACAAGTTTGGTTCCGCTTTGCAAATAGGCAGTGTAACTATTTGGACGACGCATTTTCATCTATCAAAATCAATACCTCCACATACAAAAAATGTAATTGTAAAAATTTGATGATTTTTTGTCGCATTGAGAAGAAAGAAAAGATCTGGATATTCTTAATTTACAGCTTCAACTGACTAACACCATGAAGTTTTTTTATTAAATTTAAACAGACTTTTCCCTTCTTTAAATATTTGAATAACCAAGACTGCTCGTATCAGGACAAAACCCTGAATGTACCGACTGTCCAAAAACTGGTCTCGAATAGTTTTTGGTTAATGACATATTGACAAACTATGAATAAAGCGAATAAAGCGAGCGAAAAAGTTTATAATCATATAACATTTATAATTTAAAAAAACATGAAATTTAAGTTTGTTTTCTGGAAAATATTTATTTTTTCTACACATTCTTTAAAGCAGAGAAAATAAAAAGCTCGGATTTGTTTTTGATTTTGATAATGGATGCTTTTTGATTTTTTCATCAGAGTTTGAAAAGCTGTCGTGCAATATACTTGATTTATTATTACTGAAGATGCCTAATACTCTCAACGCATCACGAATTCACGAATAGAAGCGTAACAATTTGAAAAAAAAATCAGTTTATAGTTTTATAGTTTTTAGTTTTTTTAATTTTATCAAGATTGAAATTTTTTTGCTGTTTGCACAGCAACCGAATATGCTTGTAATTATTTGATTTGTAGGGTTTTCAATAAAAATGATACTGGAGTGGTTTTGTTCCGATCATTAAAAATGAGGAAGAAGTTTTGTATTCGGATGTGTTTTAGTTCTTTTTCTTTTGTTTTGTTTTGTTTTCCAATCAAAATCAGATAACTGAATTAATAAACAAAATAATTCGAAAGTAAAACTTTTTCAGTCGTGATTCGACTTCTAGAAATTTTCACGGTGCGGAGAAAAGTTGGTTTGAATATTTTGATTTTAGTTTAATTTCGGACCAAAAAGCGAGCTACTAGCATGTATATTTTAAAACAATACGTCAACAAACTTTTTAAGCCCTGAAAACTTAGTTTTTCTCCAGTAAATTTTTTTTTGATTTTTTTGCACCATCTTTGACTTAAAAACTTCTAAAGATTAAATAACCTTTTTGATTATTTTTTGTTTATTTGAGCCATTTTTCGAAGAAGCATGTTATCCAATCTGCATTTTTTGTTCCGACTTTTGATACGAAAGTAACGGAATATTTGTGCTCGGGTGGGTTTTTTTTCTTCAGACAAACTTCGACTTTTTAACTAGCCATTTTTGACGGAACTTGTTTTTATCATTCAGAAGGTATTGTTGTCCTGTGATCATTTTTCGTAAAGTTACGGGGGTTTAAAGATTGCGATTTTGAACAATTTGGGACAACTAATGCGCGATATATTTCGCGCTATTAACGCGTAAGCGGAGATTTAATCCGTCTTAAAAATCGTTCTAAATTGGTTGAAAGTATCTTATATGCCATAATTGATTTGTTAAAAGGAGCAAAATCTATTCTTTTCTACTGTATACGACGTGTGGGGGATTATTTTCTTCATAAAAAATTTTAAGTTAAAAAAAACTTTCATTTTATTTTATGAAATTCATTTTTTTTAAATGTTATTACTGCTCCATAAACCTTAAAAGGCAGTTGCAACATTCAGGGATTGACACGTATGAAATGAAAGGTTGTCAATCAGTTAGCTACCCGAAACCGATCTACCTCAGAACCGAAACGAGGCAGAAACAGGTTTTGCCCTGATACGAGCAGTCTTGTTGTTCCGACTTTCGATACGAAAGTAACGGAATATTTGTGCTCGGGGTGGGTTTTTTTTTTCTTCAGACAAATTTCGACTTTTTAACTAGCCATTTTTGCCGGAATTTTTTTTTATCATTCAAAAGGTATTGTTGTCCTGAGCTTAAATTTGAAAAGATATTTCACCTGTGATCTTTTTTCGTAAAGTTATGAGGGTTTAAAGATTGCCATTTTGGCCATTTTGACCAATTTGGGACAATTAACGCGCGGTATATTTCGCGCTATTAACGCGTAAGCGGAGGTTTAATCAGTCTCATAAATCGTTCCAAATTGGTTGAACGAAGCTTATTTGCCATAATTGATGTGTTACAAGGAACGAAAACTATCTTTTTCTACTTTATATGGCGTGTGGGGGGATGATTTCTATAAAAAATTTCAAATTTTAGAAAAAAAAAATTTCATTTTATTTTGTTTCATATAATGTTTTTATGTTATTACTGCTGCTCCATAAACCTTCAAAAGCAGTCGGAACATTCAGGGCTTCGCCCTGATACGAGCAGTCTTGTTTACTATATACTATCGAATATGCTTCTTTTAAGGTTTTGTTCAGAGTCGTTCAAAGAATATTCAATCTTTTTTGAATATTCAATCGAATGATTTTTGCGCTCGAGCGTTCAAATATAATTGTGTTTTTAGATCATGCGCATTTTGATTACGTATAAACATTTCGTTGTGTTATAACAGATTTGGTTTGCACACTTTGAGAAAAGCAATAGTGTCGAATTTGACTCTTAAAGTTCAATTCGTTAACTCATAAGATATGTTTTATGGATACTCAAGAAGACTTAATGAATTGTGTTAGCTCTTTGTTCATAAATCAGTCATTTTGATTGCCGAACAATTGCTATCGTTTCAATCGCAGTAGGCATGCAAGTATCGACCATCTTATCTTTGCAGATGAAAAAATAGAACAAAGAACTTTAAGCACATTTTCAGCACACAATTTTATAATTTTTTTCAACCAAACACGCCAAAAAAATCTGAAGTAAACCAAATGTCAAATATTCAACAAAGAATCCAGATGAAATGAATCCCATTTGAATATGTTTTTTGGGTTGACCGATTATTGACACATGAATAAAGCTGGATCACTAACCTTGCGAAAAATTCGTAATCATCTGATCCATATGAACGGTCTTGGACAAGACTCCAAATGTCGGCAGCCTTGTCACTTCATAGAAGATGCCTTCTGGATCCGTATCCTCGTCAGTCGCCATAATGTACTCACTGCTGAGAATCAATCCAGGTCTTCCATTTATGGTGTGCATGTTTTTAGTTGGACCACTGAACTTCATTTTTGGGGGCTCATCATCAACTGGGGTGACTTCTATTAGGAATTTAAAGTACGGACTCCCGGGTTTCGTTACATTTGGTAGCGTATAAAACCTCAAATTGCCCGCTGTTTTTGGATTCGTTTCAATAAGTTTCAAATTAATGCTTTCAGGAATCCCGTTCGGTTCTTTTCCATTGTGGATATATACTATGTAACCTTGAGCTAAGTCCTCGTAAGAAAACATTCCAACTCGAGCGTTTGCACCGATGTTTCGATTACGTAATGCGCCACTCATTGGACTGACGTTGACCATAAAAGAGAAGTCTCGCGCAGGTCGGTTCCGCGTGTCAACTATTATGTAATCCGAGAGAGGTTTTTCTTGACCTTCGAGAATCGTCATGTTTTTCAAGGTCAAAATCGGACTCTCGTCGGCTTCGTCGATGATGACAATTTGAAACAGTCGAATTAAAACGGTTTTGTCCATCGATTGACTGTCTTCGAGCAGTTCGATGTTCATGCAGTCCATTCGGACCCTCTTAGAAGGGTTGTGAGAGTAGAAAATTTGCTTTGATCTGACTTGGTCTCGACTGAAGGTGTCGATGTTTGAAGGCTGTCGAGTAGAACCCAGCTGAAATGTTTAAACTGAGATTAATTGATTGACTTGTACAATCTAATATGCAATCGCTTAAATCATAACCAGCCTTATATTCAGAGTCAAAGCAAAAATTTTTCTCTAGAAATTAAGAAAAGCTAGAAAAAGAAAAGCTAGAAGTTTCAATAGCTTAAGGGTTTCTTGAAAGCATTGTCACTCGAAAGAAAAAATCCGCCGTTCTTCAAAAACCAGAACAATTTTTTTTTTTGCGATTTACGATATTACTAATTTGAACTGTTTTTTTTTTCGTTACCTGAGCTAAGAATCCATTGACTGGTGGAATACTTAATCTGAAGTACATCTGACGTCTCTTCTCGTCAAAGTCCAGATCCATCACTGGCAAAATGTCGTCGCCAAACACCGTCGAGTTAGTCTTGGCCGGCAACAAAATTGTCTTTGTTATTTTTTCACCCAAAAAATCCTTATTCTGGATCTTAATGCGCAACTGCTGCGCGTATCGAGTGTTAAGACCGTCAGTTATATCAAATATAACTTCATCGTTGACTTGCTCTTTAGAAACCGGCGCTGTTTGCGAGTATCTCACAATATGTTGAAGCTCAATGTCAAGTTGGCTGAAACTGTCACCGATTCTCAAAGGCCGGTAAACTTCTGAATTAGAGTCCCATTTCTCAATGTTTCCCTGGACGGGAGTTTGCTTAACCAGGTACGCTATTTTCTCCTCTGAAGAGTCCTCGTCAACTGCATCGAGAGTATTTGTGGTAAGATACCTAACATCCCCAGGCTTGACAATCAAATCGTTATGAGTAATCAGTCTTGGTTTTTCGTCATCCAAAGGTGTGACCTTAACTGGAATTGTTCCAGTTGCAGTTATAGTTCCGCCATCTTTTACTTGTAACTTGAACGAGTCTTCGAAGTTTTCGGATCCATCGTGTTGGTATATCACACGTTCCGTTCGGCCACCTGAACCCGAGTTAACTTGCTCAACGAGAGAAGCCGAGAAGCTCTCGACTATACTCGATTGAGATCGGCCATTCGGCATTACTTTTTCGAGCTTAATGTAGCCATATTTGGGCTGGACGATTATGTTTAATGTCAAATTTTCTTTCGGGAGGTCTCGATCTGTAGCTGCGAAGTAAGGATACCCGAGCTTGATAGTTCCGCCCTCATTCAAGGAGAGTGGCATTTTGACCTCTAAATTCGGCGACTCATCAGGTTGAGGTTGAATTTTTATTATGACGTCAGCAGCACTTGACTTCTGAAAATCGGTGCACAGAAGTTTGAACTTGTCGTGTTGAGGCTCAATCGTTTTGATCCGATGTGTGTGCAAGCTCTGGACATAATAGATTTTATCGGATACCAAAGCCGAATACTTGAATGCACTAATCGGAATATCACTTGTAGCCGAATTTGACTGATCGATCAGATAGCCGAACTCCGGTTTGCGGCTCACAAAGCAGAATAGTTTGTTCTTCGGTGTGTCGCCGTCGTCGATTCGTAGAACCCCGTTACCGACTCGGCTTTTACGACCTTCAGGTACTATCACGTCGTTTAAAATCCGAAGTTGAGGCTCTTCACTGTCAACAGGTAAAATATAAACCCGAAGAATAAACTTTTGCCCAATTCTGACTTCTGAACCTTCGTCAAATAAAGACACGTCAAATTCCATTTCGTCTGTTTTCGGTTTCTCTCCAATTTCCAAATGGTTGTGAGTTTGGTATAACACTTGGCTATTGACCGCATCATTGCAAGAGAGAATATTAGTTTGCGTCGAGTCTATTGGCTTTGTACGGATACTTTTGAAATTATTTTTCAGTTGTCCGTATAAATTTGCACCGTTCGGTTCTGTTTTCGGACCCCGGGTCATTTTCAGGAAACAAGTTTCTCCAGATTTTCCCATGGTAAGTTCCTCGATAGCTCGTCGATATACGCTTCGCTTTGTTGTCATATTTAAAACCGACTGAAAATATCTGTGAACAGCATTATTAATATTCGTAACTTTATTTTCTGCGACATAAATATTGATTGCAATTTGATTTTGGTCTTTCCTGTACACATCAGTAACGAATTGACCCATGCCTGAAATAGTTATGAACAGGTCAATGTTTAGGACATTGACCCCGTCGTTGATTGACAGCGTGAACGAATCTTCTTCTTCGCTTTTCCCGCTTAACGCGTCGATATTGTTCCGATACCTGAACTCTTGGTTTTTCAAATCCTCGATATAAAATACACGGTTCAAACTCGTTTTGAGTTCATCTCGGTCTAAATAAAGGACGCCCAGTGAGGGCTCTTTTACCAGTTCAATTTTTGGTCGACTGTTTGGATTCACAGAATAAATGTGCAAAAATTTGTCATCAATTCGAAACTCGTCACCAGGTAAAATTCGTTTGTTTCCTGTAAAAATTTGAGGAGGTTGTCTGTCAAATGCTTTCAGATTGATCGAAAAAACTTGATTTGAAATTTTGTTTGAGTATTTGTCTTGAACTGCAAATCCGAACTCAATAAAACGAGTGGTCACTCCTCGTTCTGAACTCGGAGGAAGGAACTTTAAAAACCCGCTATTTATGTCAAACTGAGTAAATTTTTGGGCTATTTCAGTTCTGTCGCTTCTTTGCAAAATTAAACTCCCAGCTTTGAGAGGATTCAAAGTGTTTGTATCGTAGGGCTTCTGAAGCACTTCGTACTGGATGTCGGCGGGATCCTTCGAACCCTCGTCGACATACGAGAGCATAAATTTGGTGAACCCTGTTTTCTGGTAATCAATGACATCCATATACATCAAACATTCAGACGCTGCTTTTGGAGGGTTCTCATCTTTTGGTATAATTTTTACGAGAAGTTGAAACGTCGAAGTATTAGGAATTGCGTTGCGGTCTTGGACACTTATCCGAACATACTCGCTCCTTTCAATTTCAGAGGAACCTCCTCGAAATTTCAGAAAAATTGTACCTCGAAAAATATCCTCTTGAGTCCAGTACTCTGGTATTTCTTCACGAGGGAGCATCCGAGAAAATATATTATACGGTTCTCTTCTTATTACGGTGATCAAGTTTGGCAAAGGTGAGCGAAGTTTAAACACAAGTTGGTTCCAATTTGAGTCGGCGTCTGCGAATTGTAAATGTCCTAGAGTAAGCATAGCACTTTGAGCGTGTGAGATCTCGACTAGAAGTTGATCTAAGTTCGGATAAGGTGCTTGGTCGTCCGATGGTTTGACGAGGATCCGAAAAAGACAGAGAGTTTTGTTCTCTTCGGTTCCTGATTGAACAATTTCAAGAACAATGTTGTCAGAGTCACTTTCATCGCCTCCGTGTATGTATTGCACCTGAAATGCTTTGCAGCTATAGCTTTCATAATAAAAATTTTTCTTTCATTGTTTTTTTGAACTGAAGTTTGTTTCAATCGTGGCAAGTATCTAAAGTTTGTTCATTCGGATGATTATTTCGATATCATAAAAACCATTGAAAATTTCTAAAACGTTACTGAAATGCATTGTTTTGACATAGAAACTTAACCGAATATGTTATTTTTGATAAAATTTTAGAGTGTTAGCAACTTTTCAAAAATGAATTCTACCCAATAATCAACTCACAGCATTATTCGTAATGTCACTCAGTGTGAAGTCGGTCCGCCTCCTTCTGTCTACGAAGAAATTCCCACTCCTCTGGCCTGGCTGTACAATCCTGAAATCCAGTCTCAACTTTTCAGCTGGAAGATTTGCCAACTTAGCCGAAAGCATCACGTTAGACAACGTCGCAGTTTTCCCTTCATCCACCATCAGAACATCGTTAGTGACTATTTCAGGAGCGAAAGGATTTTTTGGCCGAATTTTAATTTGCAGATCAAGCTTTTCAGATTTGACACCATGAGAATCTATGGCACGTAGATAAATATGCGCAATGGACGTTCGGCTAGTATCGTACTGCTGGAATGCAATTTTGAGGTCTTTCACATCTTTTTGAGTAAACGTCGTAACATCTTGACCAGGGTTGTCTGTAAAAACGAGACGTCCGGATTTCATGAACAGTTTTTCATTACCCGATTCCGTTTCGACTTTGAACACAATCTCGTCCGAGTCCGTGAACAAATCTGAGACTGCAAGTGTCTGTGACGTAATCGGAACTAAGTTAGACTCCCCTTGAAACTGAGACTCAAGTATTTGAGGCGCTCTTTCTTTTTGGGGTCGATCAAGTTCGTTAGCATCACGATCTCGCGCGGGAAGTTTCACCGGAAGCATGAAATATTCGTATTTGGACCCGCCGGTGTCCCCCGCGTATCCTTCAACGACTAGTGGTATATAGTCGTATTCAGGCACGAGTTGTCGGCCTTGAGCCGAGACTGATTTCTCGTGTTTGTAAAAGATGCCAGAGTCGAGAAATTTCTCACACGAGAGAAGAGTGCCGCCAAGTTTGTCACCCTGGATTGAGCCAAACTGAGGATACATTCCGTTTAGTCTGTAGTTGATGGCAATTCGACAACTGAAACAACAAAGTGATAAGGAATAAATAAGAAGCATTAGTTTTACCTAGACCATTGAACCTATGTTTTTTCATCTATTTCTGTACTAAGTAAGTCCTTAATCGTTACTTGAATTGCTCGCAGATGAGCATAAAACGAATGACAACCGATTTTGAAAGGCATCCTAGAATTATTACATAAAAAGGATGTGCGATACTTTGAAACACTAAGGCATTGAATTGATTTTAGCGAACAGAATTGAATTGAAATTTCATTGAACTGGGTTGGAATTTTTTTTCTTCCAGACAATCAGATTGCAGCATTTTCTGAAATTTTTAGGTGTCCAACGAAAGTGTTTACGAACTCAAACAGATTTATTTAAAATCTCCGAGCGCTTCTAGAAAAACCTGAAAAGACGAGTGAATACTTCTGGTTTTTTTTTTAGAAAACTTAAAAAAATTTCTGGGAGTTGTTAATTTACTAGAAAGTATACTGCGTTTTTATGCCTCTGATTTCAAGAATTGAAATAAATTGAAGGAAGAAAGCCCGCGTTGAATTGGAATTGAACTGATTCTGAAATTTCATGAATCGCAAATCCCTGAATTAAAGGAGAAAACTCGGCAAGCTCACATTCCCCTCAAGTTGAGTGTATACTGGAACCAAAAGCGCCCAAAGAAAAATTTTAAGATTAGTCGACCAAAAATGAATGTCGTAAAATAGTACCAAAGGGGGTACACTTTGGGGGCAGAGTTTTCCGCCCCGGGCCCATCACTGTCCCTAATAGATAGATAGCATATACCTCGCTCAATGAAGATACTATATCTATTAACGTTAATCTATCCTGAAAACTCGGTTTTATATCTCACTATTTATTTGTTTCGACCATGCCCGGAGTGAGAAAGCACTTTGGATTCTTTTTTTTTTGGATTTTCAGATTTTCATAATTTTTGAAAAATTCTGTCGATCTTTTTTTAGGTCGACCAAATTGATTTTTCCAGTTCTCCCAAAAACTTAAAAGACCCTGGTTTGGCAAAATTTTCTGCGCCGCAGGCAAAATTTTGAAAAAGCAGGCCAAAAAACCAAAAAAAGCGCTTTTAGGCACTTTTTGGAAATTTTTGACCAAAAAACCCTTTTTTTTTGGCGCGCGCTCCTCACAACTAGTATAAATTGGCGCCCAAGGCGCCTTTAAAAAATTTTGGGGTCTGTCAAGCAAAAAATGGATATCGCAAAATAGTTCATAGGGCAGACCCTATAGGTCGGCAGGGTGTCGAATCCCTGAGAGGGCGGCGTCCGCACCCCCACTCCCCCCTAAATCCACCCCTAATCAAATTTCAGACTGAAAAATTTCGAATTATTAGCGGTGGCAAGAAAAAGTTTTACAGAATAGAATTGACAACGCTCTGATCACGGTTATCAATGCAAAAAAAAACAAAAGAAGTGTTTTCTTTTTCAAAAATTCTGTCGTTTTGTTGGGCAGCGTACAAATATTCGCATATGGTGAAACTGTTCTAGAAAAATAATTTGGTAATGTTTTATTTGAGGGCTCTCCTGTTGTAGATAAACCCAAAAATTGGAATAATTCGCACCAGTTTTTTAATTACCCGCGTGCGAAAAAATGCGCTAAGCCGCAGTTACTTTTATTTCGGAACATAAAAGGTCGAAACGAAAAAGCATTTTTTAACCTGTATCCAATCTTGAAAAAGTGGGTTAGTTTCGGAAATTTAGATAAGCACAAACAACCGCAAAAAGAATTTGTAAAAATAAAGAAACCTTCCAAAAAATTTAAAAACAAAAACCAGATTGAAAAAAATACAGTCTGTGATTTTAATTGAGTTTTTCTAGCCTTAGATGTATAGTTTGATTTTGAGGATCAAGTTAACATCCTCCTCCCCCCCCCCCCCCCCCCCAAATAGACCAAGTTAAGATCCTCCACCCCAGCGCATAGTTTAAATTAAATTTGCTAAGCGCTGCATGTAAAATGCTCGATTCTGATTGGCTGAAAATTACCAACTTAGAACCAAGTTAACATCCTCCCCCCTAAACTTGTTTCGGGGGGAGGATGTTAACTTGGTCCGATTTTGATATAAAGTTAGCAACAAAAATGCAGGATAGTCGAGTGTGATATTATATTTAAGCGCTTTCAGTCGTGATTTGAAGTCTAAAATGTTTGTACACAAAACTTCTCTCTTCTCTCAGTGTTGAGAAAAATCAATGAAAAGATTTCAATTTTTGCAAATTATTACAAGGAAAAGAGGAGTGGACAAAAATGGGAGTTGATTGGTAATTTTGATTTAACTGATATAACATTTTATTATCCAGTGGCTTTTAGGTCGACGAAATAGATTTTGAAAGCTCTCCAAAATGCTATAAAGACTCTTTTTTGCCTAATTTATCCTATTAGCATCTAAATTTTCATACTTAAGCTCAATTTCTTTGCCTTTTGTGAGCAACTTTTAGCATTAACCAATTAAAATTTTTTAACCAAAATCAGTGACAACAGTTTTGATTTTAAGATATGTTAAAAAAAACTATAAATACTCTTCAACGTATTTTCACACGATGCATTTTTGAGAGCATACGACATGCGAGTTTTTACGGACGTTAGCAAATATTTTAAATTGCTTAAATTGCCACTTATTGATTGAAGGAACATGACTGAGTGAAGGCTTGGAGTGGCGTGGTAAAAACGTTATGATTTCTTGGCCTTACTGAGATTCACAATGCATTCCTGAAAAGCTAATGTATAAGCCGAGATGAGGACGTTTTTCACCAATCGGTATAACCAATTAGTTATTGGATGAATCAGTTTAACAAACTATTTTTTAACCTAATGCTTAAATAAATTTGTTAAACAGATGGTTATATGGATCATCACTGATTTCAAGAGAAATTACTTAACTTAGTGAACCGTTTTTGTTCCGTCTTAGAAATCGTTCCAAATTGGTTCAAGTAAGCTTATTTGCCATAATTGATTTGTTAATTAGAGCGAAATCTATCATTTTGTACTTCACAAAATGAAAAAAAATCGAAAATTAAAAAAAAATTAGTTTATTTTTTTTACATTTAATTTTTCAAGTTATTACTGCTCCATAGAAGTTGAAAGGCAGTCGGAACATTCAGGGCTTTACCCTGATATGAGCAGTCTTGTTTTCTTTTCTAATGCTATAAAAAGATTCCAACCTCAGCATTACCGAAGTAAAAGATATGTGTAATTTTAATTTTGAAAACTGCTCAATCAAACTTGACCTTTTTCCATTTTAGCGAATTTTGTGTCCTTGTGCGAAAGCACACAGCTGAAAAGGACAACTTGAGTACTGCAGGGTTTTTACTTTGCCTGTAATATAACTTATAAATCCCGCCCCTTCGGTCAGAGCGAAAGTTGGATTTACACCATGCGATACAACCGCAATTGATATTTTTACTCTCAAATATTGACTCCGATATCCCTTTCTACTATTTTTATTGCATATAAAAGAAACTAAGTACAAAACAAATATGACTAGAACGAACAAAAACTGAGTCAATGATACGATTTTAAAGTACAATTCTAACACTTCAGATTTTAAATATTTTCATTTGATACTTCCGTTTGCGAGAGTAGCAAAAAATTCTTTTAAATCCTAAGCGTAAAAACTAATATATGTTAAAATCTGTCACTCTGAGTAAGTTTCTATTCACCGACTAGGTACAAAACAAATATGACTAGAACGAACAAAAACTGAGTCAATGATACGATTTTAAAGTACAATTCTAACACTTCAGATTTTAAATATTTTCATTTGATACTTCCGTTTGCGAGAGTAGCAAAAAATTCTTTTAAATCCTAAAATTCAACATGACAAAATAAGGTTGACTTACGCAGGTCGATCCACAATTGAAATGTGTCTCATCGAAAGAGTCTGTGAAATAGCATTCAGAGAATTCACAGCCAAAATTGTAGGATCGCTTTTCAAATCGGCGCTTGGGTATGCTAAATAAAGCTTCGGCGTAGATACCGTAACGAGGAGCGTTGTCGGATAGACCTTTCTACCCGCCCTGTTCTCGTATTGGATACGAAGTTTAATATTCGCCTTTCGCGGAAACTCGGCTCCGAAATGGTGGAATTGTACAGAACGGATATTCTCGCAACTAAACATGGTCTTGGTCAATTGGCCGAATTTTCTAGTGATGACATCATTTTGCTTCACGTAAACTGTGCATTTTTCTTCGGCCGAATAAGTAATCGGCAAACTGGCGTGAGATAAGTTGGCGACGGCTCCTTGTGGAACTGTGAGTTCGGGTTGGGTTGCGATTAGCGGGTTGAAATAAATATTCCTTTCTTGCCCACTGACAATCCAAATATGGCACCAAATTGACAGCAAAAATAATAAAGTTTTGAGGAGGTAAAGCGAATAGCTGCGAGACGAAAAAATCATCTTTTTAGGGTCGTTTTATCAAAAAGATATCTCGAATGTAGTTATAAAAATTATTTGAACTTGGGTAAAATAAACTTTTATTAAAAATTGTTGACTGGAAAGATTAGTAAACTAGAGTTGAATCACAGGAACGGGAAAAGAAGTATCAACGAAATTTGCTTTGGTTCTGTTGATGTCACATTTTTTGAATTGATCTTTTTAAAAAATGGTTCGATAAGCAAATTTAAAATGCGAAAAGATCCCAAACTGAGATTATAACACTATTAGTTTGAGCCCAGAAATATTTATGAATACTTTACAGGAACCAGGTTGACATGTAATAGTTTTCTCAGTGTCGATAAATAAATCGAAACTACAATAATTTTGGAATAATAAGCGGCTATTTTGAGTTATATCGTCATAATAGTTTACAACTCAGTACCCATAAATTAATATTACTAACAGGTATTTTATTAAAGCCATGGAAATAATAATCCAACATTGGGTGCAAATATATAAAATTCAAAGCAGGGCTCCTTCTGGGAACCAATGAATGGTAAACTTTGATTCTGCCAAAGAAAGTCCCGCAGATTTCGAATTTTGATAAATAAAACTTCTCAGTAGAATTTTAACTGCTGGTGTTATAAAGTGAGTTTGTATGAACTGGAAGTACTTTTCACGCTCTTGGTCCGAAATTGCTTTTGACAGCTTGCTGTATTCTGAAACAAAACATGTAATTTAGCAATGGTAAATCGGCTCTTATTCTAACTTCGCGGTCTGTTAAGCTGATAATCATCGGAACCGATTACGTCGGGGTCACTTACAAAAATGACTGTGAATACAAAAACAACTTAATCTGCAATTGGCAACTTGATTTCAATATCAACACTCAAAAGAGATATCATGCTTGACTTATCAGAAACAAGGCTATTTTCAACAATGGGAGCAAATTAATATCTAGCTTTCATTAAGTTGTCAAACAACCTACATTTTCGCAAGTATTGTCATTCGCAAAATGACACCGAGGCAATTTTTTTAATGAAAAAATGCGAAAAAAAACAGTTTGTTGCATATAATAACTCAAAAAGGATTTTGAAAGAGCAGCTTGGTGCATAGAAACTCTCAAAAAAGTTTGCAAAACTGGAAAATTTTTCAGTTAAATTTCATTTTTCTAAGAGCTACTGGTCTAAGAAATCATCATAAAGATCCGAGAAATCTGTTGAAAATATTAAAAAAGAAGATGGCGTCTCGAAGTCTCGACTTTATGGATTTTGATGAAGGCGCGACAAAAATATCTAGACTTTGGACTAGACCATCCAAAACATATCTACTTAGTATAATGAAATAACACCCATTTTGCACTTCAAATACGGGAAATCACGCAACATCACACCCTAAGAACATTTACTGATTAAAAACACGAATTTGCTCTAGTTAAACTACATTTTCTAATTATAAATGAAATAGATTATGAAAAAACAATTTTTTTTCTTACGATTTGAACTCGCATGAATTACGATTATGTCAGTTTTTCTGCTGACATTTTGATTGATTTTATTTGTTGTTCGAAAAAGAAGGAAAAACGTAGATTTTGGCAAATTATCAACAAAAACACTCACAATTGTACATAGGCGCGACTTTTCTCCACAAGGAGGCCAAATTGAAGATTAAAATATTGATCCTATTTATTCAGGAAAAGAGGAGGAACGACTGAGGAGGAAAGGAAGAATAAGTAAGGAAATACGAGGCACAAAGTGATTTCTCTTCTATTCTGTCTTCAGTTAAGAAGAGAGAAAAATCGCGCCAATATATTCCAGAAAAAATGGAAGTAGAGGAAATAGTACCAAATTGGCCAATCCTACGGCATCTATACCACAAAGAGCCACGCAGAGCTAATTCCAACTTATTTACTTTACCATCAATATTTCGTCACTTTTTTGCACTTTTTTGTTTTTCTTTACTCAGTGAAATTTAGACAATATGAATTGAGTTGCAGCGGTTTGAAAAACAAATAAAGTAAGGGAGAAACAGAACTTGAAATAGAATTTTTGATCAATTGGTTTTTCATTTCTAGTTTGCATTGAGTCAACTATAAATATATTGACCTTGATGGGCTTGCGGGATCTGACCAATCGATTCTGAAAATGAAAACCGTAGATCCAGGAGTGGATTTAAAATTTTTTCGAAAGAGGGGCGGATAGTTTTCTTTGTCATTTAATTCTGTCATATCGGTCATTTTGTTTTTAAATTGTTTTTTTTTGTCATTTTATTTTGTCACACATTGGTCATTTTGTTTATAAAAATTTTGAAAAGTTTTGTCTTAATTTTTAAGGTCACCCAAAGTGAGTTTCCAAACTCCATTTTAAAAAGACCCCTACTTTGTCGAAATTGACCAAAAATTCCGTTTTTTCTCCTCGCGCTCCGCTCAAACTTGCTTTATACCCATACCAAGCGTCGATTGATCATGATCGATTTTTTGGACATTTAATAGTCAGTATCTATAGAGTTACAAATTGTCGATTGATCATGATCGATTATTTGGACATTTAATAGTCAGTATCTATAGAGTTACAAATTAACCGATTATAATTCATCAAAAATGGATTCTAATCTTAATATATTTTACATTGATATAATCCAAAACAATTCTTTGTGGTCGATTATTATGGCTTATCTTGATAAAAAATTTGATTGTAGTGCCAAAAAATGGACAAAAACTGATTAAATTGGATATAATAGATCATATTTTTAAAGAAAATTATCGATTACAATGTCAAATAAACCAGTTTTGTGGTCTGAATTTTACATCTGTACATCTGTATTGGATTTAATGGATTAGTTTCTTCTCAAAAATTTATTATAATCCATTAATATCAATGGTATTAGCAAAAAGTTTTTTGAGGTGACCGAGTCGTTAGAAACAATTGGGAGTGATCAAACAGAAATTAAATTTTTAGTTGATCAACCTACCATCATTTTTCCAAATAAAAAAAATCTACTTACAACTAACAGTGATTTTTTGTCAGATACCATAATGGCAGTACTTATTAAAAAATCCAGTGAAATCTTTGAAAAAAATTCACGGTGGAATTAAAATTTTGAAATAAAAAACTTATCGTTAAGTATTTTTTGCAACAAAATTAGACCATTTTTTCGAGCATTTGCACTTGCAACAGAATTTGACCACCGAAAAAAAATTTACACCTGGTAAACTAAAATTTTGAGTCCTAAAATAGCATCAATTGCATTTTGCATTTTGGGGTGCGGAAAATGTCAAGTAAACCGTTTATAAAAAAAACCGACGTTTTTTTTATGAAGCGAACAAAAAAGGAAAAACTATAGCCAGCAATTTCGATTTTGGGCCGCTCTGTCTATTTCAATCTTTAAAAAATTCAGTTTGTTTTTGTTTTATGACCAGAAAATTTTTTTTTCAAAAAAATCTAATTCCATCAAAAATTTTCTAGCGGTTTGTTGTATCATATTAGTTCAGCTTATTGCCTCATATCAAAACTTTTTGGACAAGTAATTAAATTGCGCACTCAAAGATTCAACACGAAAAAAAACTGAGATTGACACTGACAACAAAATTCAACCAGCAATAAAAGACGAGTCAAAACTTAAGAAAAACGACAATCAGATAATGAGTTTTAAACAAGTAGCGGAGTTGACAAGTAGCGAGCGCTTGCTTTTTGGCTCAAGTAGCTTAATGCACGTGAATTTGTTTGCTGCTACTCCAGATTTACTTTCAATTTTTCAAATCTTTGATGAACGGAATACATTTTCTCGTTTTCTTTCTATTGCTTTCGAAATAACACTTTTAGATAAAAAATTTTAAATTTATCTTAAAAATATCAAAATTTGGGCTCAAAATCAACAAACTATTTACTTGCGGTCAGGTTTTGACCCCGGGCCGTACTCAATGCAGTACCAACGGCGGGGAAAGGGGATGTCAGTCAGGTGGCCGTAGCCGGTCCCGCCCTACTTTTTTCCCCAACTTTTTAAAAAAGTTTTGCCAATTTTTAGCAGGAAAACTCAAGTAAAGATACCTATAAAGGGAAACCGGAACATTCATGGCGTTGCCTTGATACGAGCAGCCTTCTGTTCTGTGGTAATAAAACATTCCCTTAGTTTTTCATTTTTTTGGCCTGTCTAGTGCTGCGAGTGATCACAATATGTCTTTAAGATATTATTACAAATCAGTCAACACCATTAATAAATATACAGAAAAAACACTCTGAGTGAAGATGTATTTCGTTTTTTTTTCGAAATCAAAACAAAAATTGATCACTAGACAAAAACACAAAATTTTCTGAGGCATGGATCTGCTGCATTAGGTGCAGCAGAGTTAGTGCGAAAATTATAACAGCGGCAAATAATTGCTTTCCTGTCAAAAATTTAAAAATTCAAGAAGGAAAATGATCACGGTTTTTGAGAGAGGGGGAGAAAATTCTTATAAGCTGTAGTAGCTTGAATAAAACCGAGTGGGTTTTTTGCATGCATTGAAAACTCGACATAAAACCAACATTACTAAGCCCAATGGGTTAATTTTCAATTGCTCATAACTTATTTTTAAAAGACCTGCAGACGAAAACTATTTTGATGACATCAAAATTGGCATTAAAGCATTAGGCAAAAACGGCATACGAAAAATTTGAAAACCCGCCTGCTCGAGAAAATTCTAGATCTGTCCATAATCTCCGTCTAAAATTTGGTGGCACAAATGGTCGCTCATGAGATTTAGTGTAAACTTTTTGGTTCACAAACTCCAGATGGCAAAAGAAAGTTATCAAAAAAAATTATCAATTTATTTCTCACACGGCTCGAATTTCAATACGCGATATGAAAATCAAGTAGTAGATTGTAGTTATCATTACAAAAAATACATTTTAGATGATGAAAAATAGTTGTCCACTTACCCTCAAGGACTAAAAGCGGAAGTCGGGTAACTTTTTGGGCTGAAATATCGGTGCCTATAATAGATATAAACCGGGCTCAATTTGGGTTAAAACAATGGCAAATCGTGTTGAACAGTGGCGCAATGCAACTTGGGCATCTTGGGACAAGGGAATAAAAATTTCAACTGTATTTCGTTTGTAATGTATACGGTAGAAATCAAACCACTTTAGACTGCTAAGAAGGGGCACTTTTAAATCCACTCAAATTGCACTGATCAGTTGTACTTCATTTTTATGTAGCCTGAAGGCTTACCTGCATTTCTGATTTTTTATTTTTTCGTTTAACGCGCCAGCACAAGTTCATGTATGAACAAAATGTCCTCATTTAATTGCAAGCAGTTAAACCCAGGAATCAGAAAGTATTTCAGCACAATATGCCCAATAAATCACCCCCGGCCAAAAACGGAAAAATCTCCCCAAATAAGCTTAATTTACATTTTAACTTCGTGTAGAGACTTTCGAGTTCGTTCGCAATAAAATAAAGTGAAAATTGAACTTTCAAAACAACACTAAAAAATTAAAGATAAATAATAAATCGAATTTTTTTAAAGTAAAAAGCACCTTCTTCAAAAATCGAAACAAAATATGTTCCATTCAATGCCTCGGCTCAAATTTTTAAATCCTTGCAAAAACAAACAATTAAAAAATGAAAAGATTTCAAGCAATTGGAAAATTGTTGTCAATAAAAATCAAATAACGCGATTGCAAACTTTCGCAATTTTTATTGCTATTCTTGAGGCAAAAGCAGTTTTTTTTGGCCAGAAAAAGAGTCACTTCTCAATAATACTTCAAAGCATATTTAGTCATGAATAAATAATCATTTTTATTCATTCCTGCAAACATGAAAAAAAACGTTGGAAAAAGTCAAGTCCTTACCTATTACATTTTTATTCTATGGAATATCCAACGAAATAAAAGGTTAAAATAAAACATTTCAAAAACTGACCAAATCAATCTATAAAAAGCAGATGAAACGTGAAAACTATTTGATTGTTTCGTAATTGGTTGATAAACTATAAACGTTTAAACATGAATTAAAATTGTATGAGAATTAAAACGTATATCATCTCTTAATTCTCAAACTAACTGTGTTTTATGCTTTACCACTGAGTATACGTGTTGAGCCGACAGCTGAGCACCATCAAAGAAAAAAATCACAAATTTGGTAACTAAAATTTGAACTGCGAACGTCATTTGAACTTCTAGCCTCATAAGTTTAGCTTTTTACTTAAATGAAACGCCATAGTAGTTTATCTTTTTAGAATGATGTTTTTTGCATGCTTTGAGTATGCCCCTAACCCAAATTGAGCGCTACTAGTAACCTTAACTTAACGGCATGTTCAACACCAATTTGACCATGTAAAAAATAACTATTTCAGTCTTTTAACGAAACTTGTGATGCGAGAGAACCAAATCAACTGTTCGCTCTTCACATTAAATTGGCCTGAAAAGCAAAAACCAACAGATATTTTTCGATAAAAGAACAACCCATGAAAACCATAAAACGCTTTCAGATTTTTTTATTGCAGCTCGAAACACGACTGAAATGGATTTATTATGATACACCACTTAATCCATCTGATTTCTGACTTGTGGAAGTAGATTTGAGTGGAAAAAAAGCGATTGGTTGGAACAATCAGCGATGACAGAGCCAAATTGATGCTTCTTCTAACTCGTGATTTTTTTATGTTTTAAATGTTTCCCTCTATTTTCAGCTGTATGCATTTTTTTCTACCGTTTTAAGGCAATTTTCATATGTCAAAAACAAAAAAATGAGAGTAACCATGAAAACGCAAAGACCTGATTGATTGTTATCAAACATACTGTCAAAAATAGTTGATTTTCTTCATTGTTTCTTAATGCGGGAAAGCTTACAAGATCTTTGACCGTTCAAGAAACGATCCCAATGCAATTTTATACATTGTTTTATACATTGAAAGATCCAGCCAACAGAAAAAAAAGGATCTTTTTACATAAACCGCCCATATTTCTTAATTTTGTGATTTTGTTTTATTCTATGTCTAAATGCAGAGGACAAAACACTGATCACACTGAATGGTTTGGTTAATACAAATGTGATCACTTTATTTTTTAGCCGATTTCTAACAAGGCCGAAGTTTAAGAAGATGTGAACGTGTCATTTTTTCCTGAAGCTTTTTTCAGCTTTATTTTTTAGAGTGAAAAGTATAAGAATGAATACTAGGATCTACTCAACAATCTCCCCCTATGGTACCTACTTAAGAATCTCCACCCCTATAAATAAATTCAGTAAAAAAGCACTGAGCTTTCTATTGAGAATTCTAATTTTGCTGCATTCTGATTGGTCAAAAAATCGACCAGTTTGATCTACTTAACAATCTCCCCCCCCCCTCTTTCTTGAAAAAGGTGGAGATTGTTAAGTAGACCCGAAAACTAATGTAGTTCTTAGACGTGTAGGTCTTAAGCAGGGGCACAACAGCAGTTCTCCGGTCTCAACTTAATTGAACTCTTCACATTATTCGAAACAAATTTGAATAGCTTCTCAAACATTTTATAGTTTTGGACAATTCGGATTTCTAAAAAATGACTTAAAACTGTGAACAAAACCTTGTGAGTTGGTGCTGAAATTTGATTGATCAGTCTTAGCCAACCAGATTGAAGCAAAATAGTATCAATTCAAGATGTTGAAAATTAGATTTTGGACGAAATGAAAAAAAACGAACAAAAAAAATATTTTAGTGTTGCAAACACATCTGATTTTTGACCAATCATCCATTTAATGGGCAAAAAAACAAAATTCTGATACAATCAAAGGTTGTAGAAATATTTTGTTTCATGTGCATAAATTGTTCAAAACAGTTGGAAACACTATTTTTGATCTCCTTCTCAAAAGTATCTTTCATCAAAAGCTGCCAAACAGTGCCAATTTAAAATTGTAGAACCAACTCTGGCAATAACCTAATCTCGACACACGCAAACAGTAGCTGGTTGTCGTAAAATTTTAACAGAAAAATTAGGATTGGCACTAAGAAGATTTTCTTATAAAAGATAAAACTTGAATAAAACTTTCTCTTCTCTTCATTTCTTGACGTTGACTTGAATAGAGGATGCGATAAAAGCTAAAATAACTTTAAAAAGAACTCTAAAAATACTCAAACCAGTTTTTTTAAGTAAAATTTTGAAACCATTGGATCATGTCAACTATCCCCCCTCCCCCTATTGCAAAACAGGGGGCAATAGTTAACAAGGTTCGGATGAAAATTATTGAAATAACTTCAACCAATAGGAATGCGACAGAACACATTTCTGAGAAATACAAAACCAATCCAGTTGAGCATAAATGTACTTTGTGCATAAATGTGTTTTAAAAGGGGTGATTCTTTACAAGGTAACATAGGGGGGAGGATAGTTAACATGATCCAAACCATTTTTTCGAAAACAAGCCGCATCTGAATGGCTTTAAAATGATAGATCAAAAATGGTTTGAAATATTCAATTATATTTGCCAGCTACTATTATTGGTTCAGTTGCGATACAAATAATATCCCACAAACTTCAAATCAATATAAAATTGTTTAAGAAGATGTGAACGTGTCATTTTTTCCTGGAGCTATTTTCAGCTTTATTTATTAGAGTGAAAACTATAAGGCTGAACACTAATGTAGTTCTTAGACGTGTAGGTCTTAAGCAGGGGCACAACAGCAGTTCTCCGGTCTCAACTTAATTAAACTCTGCACATTATTCGAAATAAATTTGAATAGCTTCTCAAGCATTTTATAGTTTTGGACAATTCGGATTTCTAAAAAATGACTTAAAACTGTGAACAAAACATTTTGAGTTGGTGCTGAAATTTGATTGATCAATTTTAGCCAACCAGATTGAAGCAAAATAGTATCAATTCAAGATGTTGAAATTTTGATTTTCGACCAAATGAAAAAAAAAAACGAACAAAAAAATATTTTAGGGTTGCGAACACATCTGATTTTTGACCAATCATCCATTTATTGGGCAAAAAATAAAACAAAAGTTTGATACAATCAAAGGTTGTAGAAATTTTTTTGTTTTATGCGCATAAATTGTTCAAAACAGTTGGAAACACTATTTTTGATCTCCTTCTCAAAAGTACTTTCCTCAAAAGCTGCCAAAGAGTGCCAATTTAAAATTGTAGAACCAACTCTGGCAATAACCGACTCTCGGCACACGCAAACATTAGCTGGTTGTCGTAAAATTATAACAGAAAGTTTAGGATTGGCACTAAGAAGATTTTCTTATAAAAGATAAAACTTGAATAAAACTTTCTCTTCTCTTCATTTCTTGACGTTGACTTGAATAGAGGATGCGATAAAAGCTGAAACAACTTAAAAAATAACAGTAAAAATAATCAAACCAAATTTTTTTATAAAATTTTGAAACCATTGGATCATGTTAACTATCCCCCCTCCCCCTTTTGCAATACAGGGGGGGGGGGGGAGGATAGTTAACAAGGTTTGTATGAAATTTATTGAAATAACGTCAACCAATAGGAATGCGACTGATTACATATCTGAGAAATACAAAACCAATCCAGTTGAGAATAAATGAACTTTGTGCATAAATGTAATTTTAATAGGGGTGATTCTTTACAAGGTAACAAGGGGGGGATAGTTAACATGATCCAAACCATTTTGTCGAAACCAAGCCGCATCTGAATGGCTTTAAAATGATAGATCACAAATGGTTTAAAATACTCAATCACATTTGCCAGCAACTATTATTGATTTAGTTGCGATACAAATAATATCCCACAAACTTCAAATCAATATAAAATTGTATAAAAAAATCTAAGACCAGTTTTTTCTAGTATAGTATGGAATCATGAGACAAGCGTGTTTTCATTGTATGGAGTTGCTGTAAACTTAATTGGCAATAACATTAAAATTTTAGACAAACAAATAAAAATGTGAAACAAAAAAAGAAACTTGGCAAATAATTGAAAAAATAAACGCAAATTGGCTCAATAATCAGATATCAAGGCAGTAAAAAAATTACTTAAACTTTAACCAGCTTAAAATTTGTTCGTTTTCTTTTTCTTTGAAAAGACAATTAAGTTCACTGTCTGTATAAAACCCGTCTGCTTGTCATTCACTGAGTTTCAAGACAAGCATAGTTCCATAAACTATCAATAGTAAATTTTTTATTTCTTAGTTTTATTTTTTTTTTCAATTTTGTTTCTTTTCCATACGTTATCTGATATTGGATTTTAAAATATCATAAAAACAAAATTATGAGATGAAGCCATTAAATTGAAACTAGTAGATCTTGAACTGTAAAATGATTTAAACAAATCCAGTACTACTTTTTATCGGCGCAAAAACTTTTTATTTAAGAAAACTTCAAATGTTTTATGCAGAAAGCTGTTATGTTTTTTAGTGATTGGAAATTTTACGTAATTTTAACTGTGCCAAAGTTTTTTACTTGTCTAAATCTAATTGCGCCTAATGCAAGAAACTAAATTAAAAATAAAGCTTTTTCAAAAAGTTTTAGAAAACTTCTTAATCCTTATGCAGAAAGCTGTTATTTTTTTTCGGTGATTACATGAAATTTTTTTTTCAGTGACTACATGGAAAAGCCAAAGTGTCTGACCGATCTAACTCAAAAGTTTAAATTTCTGCCTAATGCAAAACACTAATTTAAAAAAATGTTTTTCGAAGGGTTTTGAGCAGGTATATTACGTTATAGTCAAAAATAAAACTTTGACTGAACAAAACTTTTCTTTGAAAAAATCTTTTTTACGAGTACAGATTAGAATTTGCAAGAAAAAACGAGCAATTTAACAAATATTGATCATTTTTATGATTTTAGATAATTTTAGCAATTTTTTGCATATAATTACGTTTCTATCATTCCCAAAAAGTGTTGGTCAAAAAGTTTTCTTAGTTTGAGAATTGCATAACCTGCAATGTTTCATAGACAAATTCAACGGTATTGCATAACTAGCTTTTTCGGTGTATAG